CACACACACACACACACACACACACACACACACACACACACACACACACACACACACACACAGTCACTACAGTTTGCATCTAGCTGAATTACCTGTCGTTTCTGATGAATGAAAAAATGAGAAAAGTTTAGACTGAAGATGAAAAACAGACACATTCACACAAACAGAACATTTTCTTCACACCTTTTATTCTCCTCTCTCCCTTCCATCAAAGCGTTGGATGAAATGCTTTCTCACAGAGTCCCCATCGCCCTTTGAACATCCTTATTTATTAAATTGTTCCTCTTTATCTGGTGTTCTAACCTACTTTCTGACACGTGGGAACCAATCTTCAATGTGCATCTAAAAGAAAGGTTTTTGTCAAATTCTGAGTTTGTCTATATTTAAGTTGAACTTATTTAGTGTTTGTGTGCAGATTTTTGTTGTGAGACTTTAAAGGTGATTTTAGATGATTCTGACCCCATTTCTGACAATCCACCTGCAGCACCTGTCGGCAGCAGCAGCCTCTCAAATGACTAATACTTTGCTCTGAAACCCTGTCTATAGAAGCTCAACAAAGCACACAGCTGTAAAACTTCATTATGTTTTTGAGGTCGTGGTTTATTCTCTCTTTTTTCCCTGTACTGCTTGAAAACCCATCCAGACGACACAGTTCTCATCTCTTTAAGTTAAATAGTCTGAGATGTTTCTGCACCTCCTGAACTCTTCCCTGCTTCAGAAACTTTTATTTTACACTGAAATAGACTTCCTGTTTCAAACACCACAACGCAGCCGAAGGCAGAAAAAGCTTCATGTCTCACTTCTTCCATCGATTGAGAGAACAGATCATCCTTTCATGCAAAGGACAGAAAAAGTATAAAAACGTATTGATTTCATGTTGAAATACTCAAGCTGTGATTTATGCAAGCTGCCTACATTTACATTTATATAAGAGGTGCTTTGAATGCTGCTGCAACATAACACCCAAGAAAAGTTGCTTTTTATGAAAACCCAAATTGTGGAGGTCATTTCAGGCATCTTCAGCCAATTATTACAAAACTCAAGGAGCCTGTAGGCTATATTTACTCAAAAATGCTTTTGTTAGCATCATTTTAGCTTCTAAGAAGACAAAAAAGAATGAGTCAAACTCATTTTCTTCAAAAAAAAATGGGCAAACATGAGGATTTTAGGATGGCTTTGTTTATAAGATTCATTCTGATTTATTTTTTTAAGAATAAGACTCAATATAGCAACAACACAAAAGGAGAAAAATAGAAATATATTCATTTTCATAAAAAAATAAGTCATAAAGTGAAAAAAGTGTATAATTTATCTACTGCACATCAGTCAACACATTGCAAATATTCATTTTATTAATAAATAACTAAACAAAAATAAATGACAACACCAAATATAAACTGGGGAATGTGGGGATGCAGCAGATTGTAAACATGAAATTACTATAAATAAGAATCATGACGAGCAAAGGTTGTTTCTGAGGAGGAGGGGAAACAAAATCATGTGTTCATGCGTTCCAGATGTTTCAACGTCAGCATCACTTTCTGCTCTGGATGTAGTTTTCTAAAATCTTTGTCAACACGTCCGCTTCCTGAAAGAGAGATTGAGAAAAATATTAAATTTAACTATTATTTATTTATTTATTTATTTATTTATTTATTTACAGAAGACGATTTGGACCACAGAGCAATTTCCTGACTTTTGACCTTAAATTTTGACTTTTTTTTTTCCCAATTCTGACAATAATAATAATAATAGGTCAGAATTCATAAAATATATCCATTTGCTCTGTGGCCATGTTCTTCTTCCGTAGATTTTTCTAATCATTTGTGTCCAAAAAAAAAAAAAGGGTTTGGATGAAATGTGCTTCTCACCTGCTTTTTGGAGCGGCTCTCGTGCGCGTCCACCTGCGCCTGCATGGCCACGACGCGCAGAAAGTGTTGAAAAAGCTCCCAGAGGGAGCTCTGCTCGGCGGGGAGGCTGACTTCCACCGAGTCCCCTGCCTGATCCTCAGCTGAGGGCAGCAGGGGGGCGTCCATCACGCTTTTCTTCCCCATGAAATGTCCTGCCAAAGCATAAAAAAAAAAAGCAGCGCGCGCTCATTTAAGTGCGTAAAACCGGAGACGCAAATCACGAGGCTACAAATAACTGAAAAAAGCGAACTCACCTGTTGCCCAAAGGTTGCCTCTCGGGTTCACTTTGATTTTGGCAACTTTATTCCTGAGCTCAGTCAGGTCGAAACTGACCGCAGCGCTCCAAGACATGAAGGAGAAGAGCAGCAGGTAGGTGAGCAAGCCGCAGCGGCAGACATGTCTGAGGGGGGGTCCTCTCATCTCTGCGCTCCGGCTGTCCTGCAGGAGCAGCTTCACCGAAACATAAACAAAGAGCTGGATGCTTCAGTGGCATCCCGCTTTTATAGGCTCTCCTGGTGGGAGTGGGCTTTCCTCCGTCAGGCGTGGAGCTGCTTTTCATTCAGCTCACCGCGTGCACGTTCATCAAATTAGTTTGTGCACGAGGATACGAAGGAAGCAGTTGCGCGTAATTTAAGCACCAAAACAGAAAGGTTTAAGCAATAACAATAATAA